TGCCAAACACCCCCCCCCCCCCCCTTCCTACCCCACTTACCTGAATTGCGGGTTTCTTCTCCCCGCAGGCTTGTGTTTATTTTTTATTTCATCACAGCTGCAGTATAGAGAAACTACAAGTCTGAACAGCCACCATGGCAGGGGCAGAGGGACTGCACCTGTACTCCATTCATTCTACATCCAATCCCTGTTTCTGAATGTCTGTAAAGAGGTACGGACATGCACAGGAGGAAGCGTCTGCAGGAGCCAGAGCATTGCACCGCCGATCCACTGATCAATGTTGCAATGCTTTCCTGGCTCCTATGCAAAAATAATAATAAATGCTCATTTTTTTCCTTTTTTTTTTTCTAAAAGGTGTCATTTCCCTTTTAGAATTTATTTTGTAATACAGAACTAGATCACTGCTGTCTTTTACGCACATCGGGGCCGTCGGGGCCTGCGCTGCCACTAGGCAAACTAGGCAAGGCGCATTGCGGCCTGGGGAGCAGCCAGGGTCGGACCCTTTTGCTGCCACTGACGCCAACTAAAACCGCATGGGCTCTGTTTACATTTGAAATGCAAAAAAGAAAACGTTTTAAAAATTACATTTATTTAAATTAAATAAAAGAAATATAAAAAGTCCTTCCCCGCCGCCTCTGGTCCCAAGATCCGCTGTGGCCGGTGCGGGCCAGGACCGGCACAGCGCCTGTCACCGGAGATCAAAGGGAGATAAGTACATGACCTCCCTCTGAACTCCTCTCCGGTGTCAGAATGCAGGAAGTGATGTATATGACATCACTTCTGCATTCAGCTGTCATTCCCGGCTACAGAAGCCGGAGAGAAGCTGGTGAAGCAGCTCTCGGCTTCATCAGCTTCTCTGGGGGTCCCTAGGTGACATTTGGTTTTTTTTAAAGTCCCCCACATACACATGCAAACATGCGTCGGGTGCGCCTACGTGCTAAAACAACAATTGCGCTCATTGCACCGCACATGTTACATGTAACCACGAATGTCAGAGTGCGAGCAATTCTTTTAGGGCCATCAGTCACTAATAACACTAAATTGATGAGCGGTAACAGCTTTTTAAAGCGTCGCCTATGGCCAATTTTAAGTATGGTGTTTTTTTGTGATTTTGCGGGCACGCGCAATTTTAAAGCTGGACATTTTTGGTGTCTATTTACTCAACGTGACCCCAAAAATTTGGGTAATAATAAATGTTTCATAACATAACGTAGGGGAAACAGTTTTTTTTTTCAAAATTTTCGTTACGTTTTTTGCTATACAGTAAAAAATAAAAGAAATCATTTTCTTTTTAAATTCACACGCCAGCATTCTAGTAACCAGCAATGCAGGAAGGGTCATTTTGTCACTTTGTATTTCCAATTCCTAACCACACAGCAGAGACCGGCGTGCAGCTTCAATCATCTAACACTGCAGCGTTCCTGTACATAGCGGGTAGTTATTCATCACACAACATATCTTCAGGCATTATTTGCACTGCAGCAAGTGATTGTGAAGACAAGAACTCACATTTACATTTTTAATTATTACAAACAGCTAGTGATTTACAAATGATTTGTATTTACAAACACGCAGAAGTTTTACTAAGTATAATTAAAAACAATCAGAGACATAAAAAAGTCAGTAACTTACTGGATTGTAAATTGGTACAAAGCCTGCCATCTGGTCTGAGAGCTGCCGCTGGCTATGTGGCCCTGGGAGTGAATAATGAAGCTAGTTTCGTTTTCTTGTGAAGCAGGAAAGGATGTGGAAAAAAGGGTGGAACGTTCTAAGATTTTACATACTGTATATAGTATAAACACTAGGGGCTGTGTGCAAAGGGATCATCTGCCATCTGTAGGAACAACATAAAACCAAAACCATATCCATATTAGCAAAAGATGCTATTCATGGAGGGCTTGTTCAAACACTCAACCGCATGGCTGCTGGTGGGCGTGTGCCCGGACAGTGGCGATGCGCTTGATTTCTTTCTGGTTTTTATTTTTTGTTAGAACATTTCATTAAGTTCTATGGGTTCACCGTGTCTCACTGTGGTGTGCTTAAAAAATGCCGTACTTTTTTTAAGCGCACACCACCGGAACGCAGTGGCGTGAACTGAGCCCACCCATGACAAGGCAGATTGCCCTGTCTTGCATTTGGGCTGCAGTGGAAAAAACGGCCAGCACAGCCTTATGGTGTAAATAAGCCCTGAATGGGATAGGTTTTCATTTTGCTGATCAAAATGCTGGTGCTATATAGATCTTGTAATAATAATCTCTAATAATAAGAATAATATTTTAGAGGTGCCTTTACACATATGCATTTAGAAAAGAAGCGTGTTTTAATGCACGTTTGTATGCATGTTTTAAATGTGTTTTTAATGTGCTGCAGTCTAGGATTTGCTCCCCCCTTTGACCAGGGCTAGAGGGCAGATACAAACAAGTGCATTTCATAGTAGGGACTCATTTCTGTGAGCTAAAGTAAGTGTACCATGCAATGTCTGCCATGGTGCCACAGTTAGGGTGGCCACCTATTCTTCAAGTGAAACCCGAACACTCTAGCTCCGCACGTGGCAATTTTTTCTTGTGGAGAGAATGAGGAGAGGCAGCCAGGAGAGAGAGCAAGGAGAGGCAGCCAGGAGAGAGAGCAAGGAGAGACAGCCAGGGGATGGACTAAGGAGACCGGCTATGGAGGACTACAAATCCCAGCAATACATAATACAGCAATACAAAATTATATGAAGCTACATACTCTGTGTTGCTCCGGGGTGGCAGCCTGATGTTTCTAGGTTCTCAAGCGGCCTGTGCGGGCTCTCACCAGAGCTGTGCATGCTCCCAGGTGGACTCTGCGGGCTCTCAGGTGGACTCTACAGGATCTCAGGTGGACTCTGCGGCTCTCAGGTGGGCTATGTGGACTCTCAGGTGAGCTGTGCAGGCTCTCAGTTGGGCTGTGTGGGCTCTCAGTTGGGCTGTGCGGACTCTCAGGTGGGCTGTGTGGACTCTCAGGTGGGCTGTGTGGACTCCCAGGTGGGCTATGCAACCCGGACACAGCCTTCTAAACCCGGACAGGTGGCAACCCTAGCCACAGTGATTGGTGGGCATGGTGAAAGGTTGGTGTTCCTAAAGCATGTGGTTTATTGTGATATACCTTTTCACATCTTACCACATCAGCTTCCCTTGTGGTTCTTGGCATTCAGTCACATGACCTCTCAAAGATGTTGGTTCTTTTTGTTCTGTGATAACAGATATGAACAGGGAGCAGATATCTATATAACACCCGCCATGTGTCAGTGACTGTAGGTCCCGCTCTGATTGATGTCGGAATGGTGAATTATCATCACTTAGGGCCACCAGCCCAACATATTTCATTAGTACTGTTCTGGGGGGCAAATACCCCGCTGTCCCCCTCCCCCCTTTCCCCCGGCCATGTTCTCTTCTGACTGCAGTGCAGTTGTAATGCTTCTTAATTTGCATTTTAAAGTATTTTAAGGGCAATTACATTACCAAATATTTCCATGTTAAGCATATTTTAAAGGGAAATTCCACCCTTTTGAAAGAAATAAATGCACACTACTTCAAAAAAGAAAACAAAATGTGCATTTATTATTTTATGCATTGGAGCCAGTAAAGCATTGCAACCGTGATCAAAGAATAATGGGTGCAATGCTCTGGCTCCTGATCAGGGCACACATCAGAAATTTTGGGGCCCCTTACACGGCTTTAGGCCTGGGCCCCTCTACCAACACCGCACAGGCCTGTGCACTGGCTGTCCGATCGCGTCTGCCCACTGGCCGTCCCTCTGGATCCTTCAGTGCACCCACTTTTATTCTAACACTATTGAAACTTAATATATGAATTTGAAATGTGTATTCCAGTGCACAGGTGACATTGACTCTGCTGGGGTGACACTGCACAGGTAACACTGACTCTGCTGGGGTGACACCGCACAGGTGACACTGACTCTGCTGCGGTGACACCGCACAGGTGACACTGACTCTGCTGGGGTAACAACGAACAGGTAACACTGACTCTGCTGGGGTGACACCGCACAGGTAACACTGACTCTGCTGGGGTGACACCGCACAGGTGACACTGACTCTGCTGCGGTGACACTGACTCTGCTGGGATAACTACGAACAGGTAACACTGACTCTGCTGGGGTGGCACCGCACAGGTGACACTGACTCTGCTGGGGTGACACCGCACAGATGACACTGACTCAGCTGAGGTGACACTGACTGCTGGGGTAACAACGAACAGGTAACACTGACTCTGCTGGGGTGACACCGCACAGTAACACTGACTCTGCTGGGATGACACCGCACAGGTAACACTGACTCTTGTGGGGTGACACCGCACAGGTGACACTGACTCTGCTGCGGTGACACCGCACAGGTGACACTGACTCTGCTGGGGTAACAACGAACAGGTAACACTGACTCTGCTGGGATGACACCGCACAGGTGACACTGACTCTGCTGGGGTGACACTGCACAGGTGAAACTGACTCTGCTGGGGTGACAGCGCACAGGTGACACTGACTCTGCTGGGGTGACACTGCACAGGTGAAACTGACTCTGCTGGGGTGACAGAGCACAGGTGACACTGACTTAACTTTGGGCATACTTGGCACTTGCCCGGTGGGCTGAGGCTGGGCGGCACAGAATCAGGCAGCCTAATGAGGCAAACCAGACACCCGCAAGGCCCTAAGAGCGGCTGCCTAATTAGAGAGCTTCCCAGTGGAGGGGAGGGCCCAGTGAGATGTGGTCCAGCTGGCTTTGTACAGGAGGTGGAGAAGAAGCAGCAGGTGGCTCAGGGCTGGCCATAGCATGTGATCTGATTGCGGGATGTCCCAGAAGCAGGCTGGGAGACTGCAATGTATCCTCTTGGTACTAATGGCACTTTGAGCTGCAGGTAAGAGGAACGCACATGTATCAGGGAAAGGGACCCCCCGCACAGCCCACCATAGACCACACACAGCCCACCATAAACCCTGCACAGCACCCCTGAAACCCTGTACAGCCCACCAGAGACCATGCACAGCTGTCCTGAGACCCCATGTGTGCTGTATCCAGTAACTGACTGGTTGCGCAAAATGTCCCTTTCAAATCTGAAACTTGCCTGCATCATGGAAAGGCATGACACTGTGTGAAAATTTCAAGGCACCCCTGAGAAAGGCAGAAGAAACCAAAAAGGTGCCACGGCACCCTGGTTGAGAAGGGCTGCCTAACACTGAAAACTGTACATGACGTTTATTCAATGCAACAAACTGCAGATCACAGAATGTGTATTGTTGTGCGCTGCAGTGTGGGCACATAGCCTGCTACTATAACAGTGCATGTGCATGATGTTCAATATTAAAGGCAGCACGCGTATGCAAATCGATGCACATGCGTTTTAGCAAGCATTAATGGAACACAGATTTAGCTGAAACCTTGGTGTATATATCTGTACATCAGTCACTTGCAGGGGGTCACTTGCAGGGATCCCCAACTTTTTAGACTAAGGGCAGGTTCACTGTCTGTTTGGTGGCTGCAGTATGGTCAGTAGGGGTAAGAAAATGCCCATCGGGGGTCAGTGGGAGTAATAATGCTCCTATGTTGGTCCATAGGAGTCATCTATTACTACATTGGCTTTGAGTGGACTGACCCTTTAAATACCTCCTCAGGCTCAGTTCTGAAAATGTAATTTCCTTTTTGGAAATTTAGAGTTTTGCCTAGTACAGTATATACACAATATGTAGTATTCTCGGTGACAAACACAGAAATGGTGTAAAGGCAAATGTACAGTGTAATTTGTTGCTACATTTAATTTTAATCATCATAATATAACAAATTATACATATATAATTAACATACTGTTATCACTGTTTCCATCATAAACTTTATGGAAAAAAATGATTCAGCATTAGTTTATTTTATTACACAATAGAAACAAAACTGTTGCATTCTGGATTCATGGGCTCTTAAATAATCTCTTCCTGTGCTCTAAGGGGTCATGTTGGCTGGCCAGAATGGAAAGTCAGATACACTGATGACTAAACATACAAAACAGGCTACAGTTTCAAATAGGAGGTAGTGAAAAAAATATTCCAATCAAAATTTCAATTAAAGCATAAATAAAGAGTATAATGAAGGGCTGAACAAGAAGAAAATGCCCCCTCCTATGTTGGTCATGTGACCAAAAGTCAAGGCATTTTCTCATGTGAACTCTGCCCAAGGGGTAGGTTACAGTTCAGACTGGCCGATCACCCCCTTCAGTATAGATCATGCAACCAAATGCCTTGGTTTATGTCACATGATGGGCACAGAAAGGAGAAGAAAGCAGAATTTACATCATGCAAAGTTAGCTTTTCTGGTACTCTTTATTCATATTTATGCATCCCAGCAAAACTGTTAGCAGGTGGAACGACTATAAAGTTCCAATCGTTGAATACCAGATTTCTGATAAGTCACATGTACAGTATGCATTTGAGATTGTTTAAACAATAAAACTCCGGTTATTGTATTTCAGATACCTGAAGGCTCATTTTCAAACTAGATTTAGAAGATATTTTTGCTCTCCCAGTAATGCAGGATATATTTTTTGAAAAGGAGCTCTTTTGTGACCATGGAGGGCAAATTTGTATGACTTTTATGCAGTCACTGTATTTTAACACATTCAACAATAAAAAGACAATGCCGACCTTTAAGCTGAACCCACGGCAATGCCAAATGTTTTGAACTGATATATCTATGATAAATCCTAAAAATGAGAATAGGAATGTCCTCCACCAGACATCATCTTCAGACTTGCGCCATGGGCAAATCGTGAGCAGCAGTCATTATCTTCAGACCCATGCCATAGGCAAACTGTGAGCAGCAGTCATCATCTTCCAGCGTGAGCCATGGGCAAACTGTGAGCAGCAGCAAGTTGATTTATGCATACCCATTCCTAAAGATTTCTTTATGGAACTGCACTGATGGATCAGGCAAAGCTATGTGTTGTTACCTCAGGCTATTTGCCATGTGTTTTAGTTTGTTATCTTTGTCATTGATCCCAAAGTCCAGCTTTCTAATTGATCGTTGCCCTATGACCGTCCCAGCTGCTTATAATTAAATGTAGCTAATATATTTTTATGAAATATATATATTTCTTAAACTAATGTGTGTTTTGAAAACACTCTGAAATTTTTTTTTTATTTGGATGAGGTCAGTACTGCACACAGGTCAAGTTGATATTTCCACCGATTTCCATCATGTCGATCTGGTTGGAAGGCAGGCGATGGACATAGTTGAAAAGCTTTGCTCCATTTGAGTAGATACCCAGGACTCCTCCTTCGTTCCTGATTTCCATCTGTAATGAAAAGTGAATGTTTAGTTACAGAGGTCCTCAGATGGTTCTTTCTGAAGTCTACTATCTGTTTTTCTCACCTGAAAGTTTTGCCCTTGATAGAATGGCATATATGAGAGCTGCCTTTCTTCGGGACCCCAAGTGCCTCTGTCCTGGGTGTTCCTTACTATTGTACCTTCATTAAAGCGCGGATTGATTTGCAGGTGAATATTTCTCGTTCTGCTATTCAGAAGGTTGACATGGAATCTACAAAAGTTGCAAAGTATAGAGGAAATCACTATAAACGACTTCACATCAGTGTTCTGTGCAAACAGAAAAAACTTTGTAGAAGCTTTCCAAAGGAACCACCAATGTAAGTAAGCGGCCTCAAAGGGAATGTGTAGTAGTTTTGTACTTTTTTTCTTTATTGTGGTGAGGACTTAAAAAAATAAAATATTAATGTTGTTGTCCATTAATTATGACATATTGCATATTAATAGTTTGCTTTCTCTCTTTCAATCAGCTTTAGTTTCCTTTCACATGTATGACTATTTACAGCTTGTTAAAAAAAAAAAGTATTTTGCTAACAAACTCCATAGCTCATGCTGCAATTTACACGTGCAAGATGACTCCTTAGCTGTAACACTGGATCCTTTGTCATATATTAGTTGTTTTTTTTAAAGTTTATACATTTTTTAAATTTACAAATAAACATTTAATGTAGAACTGAAGCAAATTATAGTATATATATATATATTTTTATTATGGTCAGTACCACACAAAAAAAATATTTTTTAAGTTATCTCTCTATCATTTCCTTTACCAGAAGTATGTAATATGACAATCTACCTAAACCATGCAATCAATTTGTAGGTTCTGGTAGTACATAGTTGTTTATTAGATTGTACAGTCAGATTGTTTATTAGATTGTACAGTCAGATTGTAACATTTGTTGTGGTGACCTTTAATCTTAAAACCGCGACTCGCTGACGACGTCCTGGACTTTATTGTTTTTTGCCATTTATGTTTATTATTGTTTTCAATGATCAAAAGAAACAAAGCGCTAAAGGTAGCTGTATGAGCAAAGGAATAAGCTATAATTGATTCTGGCGAGGTCAGTATGGAAGCTAATATAAAAGTATAAAACAGGACTAGCTTCATAAACAAGTATAGATATAACCAGTCTAACCAAAATACAAAAATCAATTAAAACCACTAAAATTAATTCAGATGGAATAAATAAACGAATCACCTTTTTCAGAGCAGCTTGGGGTATAACTATTCACATTTATTCACATTTATTCACATTTATTCTTATTTTATTAATTTAATTAATTTAATTTATTACTAAATTTTATTTTTCCAGAAGCGCAGATTTATTTGTTCACATTGTTTTCAATGAACTCCTTTTTATTTTTTAAACCTGCATTTTAAAGTTTCTGTCTGGTTTCTTGGTTCCCTAAAAGGTCACGGCGGTGAGATTCAAGTAAATATACATCTCGGCAGGAGAGAGTGGGTTACTTCAGGCAGGAAGGTTAAGGGTACTTTATGTAAAAGTGTATTTATTCTTTAACTCCCAAGAAGAATCTACAGAGACCGTAATGTATATGGCCAGCCAGCTAAAGGACTTGAAAGAAACATTTGCAAAATGGTATGTCTTTTTTTTAATAGCATGTATGTAAAAATAGTGCTTTGCTGCATTGTCAAGCTATATGACACTGAAGCCTATCTAATAAAGATTCCTAGAAAAGTTCTCAATGCAGACAAACACACCTGCACTAAAAAGGGCAGCTAAAGAATTAGGTTTTTTTTATGAATTTCTGTGCGACAATACTGAGAGTTCCTCAGTATTTTTTTTTTGGGGGATCCAGGAGGGTTTTTTGATGAAGCTTTAGAAACCTTTAGAAGGCCAGCCCATCATCGACTACCAAAGAGAAAGTGCTGACATATTAAATAGCACGCACCTGTCTGCTCCATAATGCACCATTCCAGTAATTACAATGCATCGGTTATTGGCATTACTTTTCGGAAAAGCAGCTTGAAAAGGCATCACCTAGATTTAAAAAAAATATAAATAATTATCAATTTTAGTCAAGTTGTATTGTCGGAACTATTTGGGGCTAAAAGGAATTAAACTATAAGGCCTATACATATTATTCTACATAATGTAATATGGGCATCCTGGAAGCCAACTTTGTTATTTATACTCTGTCAGTATATAAGGTGAAATTAAGTTCATGGTTTCTGGACAAGGACTCTAACATCAGCGATTCTCAGAGCCTCACCACATACATTCCCAGGTTGTAAATTATGGGGATACCAGACAACAACAACAACGAGATAAGGACTGACCATGGTACCAGACTGTGTAATAACTGTGAGATTGATGGAATCGTCATGTCTCAGTCTTAACAAAGGACAAAAACATTCTCGGCGATATTTTTTTTCTTTTTCTGATAATAGGAAAAAGAGCTCACAATAGACGTTACCTTGTATACAGTACTATTATTTGATAGGAATGGTATTATAAATCATTTCAATTGTATTATTAGTATTGCATAAAGCATCTAAATATTTGCTTAATTGAGTAATTTTATTTCATAATGCAACATTCAATACACTGAGTGGCCAGATTATTATGACCACCTGATTTTTTAATCATTTAATCGACTAATTTCGATTAATTATAACGCACATACAGATCCAACTACTTTTAGCTGATCTGCTTGCATTGCAACTCTGCATTAGTCAGTGGTAAATGTGGTATACACTATATACAATCACCCGACACTAGTTAGGTTCCACAATCCATGACTTAACTTCACACTTCACACAAATACGTTTTAAATTCAAACTGTAGCACTGACGTAGCCCTGGTTTAAGTAGGGTTCAGTAGGGTCTCACTAGTCCTGGTTAAACCCCACAGAGCCCCGGTGAGACCCTACCAAGCCCTGCTTTAACCAGGGCTCTGTAGGGTCTCACCAGGGCTCTATAGGGTCTTGCCAGAACTATGTGGGGGTCTCACCAGCCTGGTTAGACCCCTCAGAGCTCTGGAGAGATCCCACACTGCCCTGGTTAAACCCAGGTTCTGTAGGGTCTCAACAGCACCAGGGCTCCGTAGGGTCTCACCAGGGCTCTATGGGGTCCCACCATGGCTATGTGCGATTTCACCAGCCTGGTGAGACCCCTCAGGGCCCTGGTGAGACGCCAAAGAGCCCTGGTGAGACCCCACGAGCCCTGGTTAAACCAGGGCTCTGTGGGGTCTCACCAGAGCTTTGAGGGGGCCTCACCAGGGTAGCAGGGCTCTGTGGTGTCTAACCAGCCTTGTTAGACCCACAGAGCCCTAGCAAGGCCCCACAGAGCCCTGGTCTCACCAGGGCTCCATGGGGTCTCACCATGGCTTTGTGGGGTCTCACCACGGCTCTCTGGGGACTCACCAGGGCTCTGAGGGGGTCTCACCATGGTAGCAGATAGTAGATTTCTAACAGGGTAGTAGATTTTACATGACACATATTATTTAATTTTTATTTTATCTGCCTTGTAGTATGTACACATTGTCCACACATCCATATTATTTTTTACAATATTCAACCTATATACCTTATATATATTATTTAGTTGTACTTATTGACATATATTAGTATATATTATTAATATGGTGTTTTTTAAAAGTACAAACAATTACGTTAGGTACATTGTTATTTTTTTGTAATCAGTGGAAAAAAATGTGAGTAACCACTGACTTCATCCTCAATTTATTTGGAAAATAATTGTTTTTCTTGCTCAGACTTTCTCAAGCTATACATCTCTTAAAGAGACAGTAAGTCAGACAGGTTCTGCCAAAGAACAGGCCGCCTTGTTACATTTTATGGTTTGGTTCAAGGCTTAGGTCTAAGGTCATCTCATGGAAGAATATTGGTATTTTAAGGAAAAATCCAAAATGGTTTTTATTTCGTCTTCAAGATAGCGCAAATAAAGAACTCGAGTTTAGTTGTTTTGTTAAAATAAGTTGGGAATCTCCTTAATTACAGATTCTTGCTTGTTTTCATAAATTAAAAACTGTTTATTTTATTAGAGTGAACAGTCTGACAGCATGAAGCATTAAAAGGTTATTCTACCAGAGTCTCTACCAGATAAAACCCATATGATCAACTTACCTCTATCTGTTGTAAATTTAAGTTAATGCTATATGATCTTTCTTTAGGACTAGTTATGTACAATAATAATGAAAAGATGACAAGGGCCCCATTCTGCTTGTAAAAAGAAACCTTGACCAATGGAGGAATGGAATAATGCTAGTTATACAGTTCAGTAATGTTTACAATTTTGATGGGCCATTAGGGGACAGAGAGCTGTCACTGAATGTAAACAAAGCGGCGGAACATGTCGGACACGTTCGGATTCGTTATTTCTTTTATTCAGAAATTCGGATGCATCCTCATGGAACCTGTATACCTGTATACCTGGGACTTGCACAGTTTGACTTATATTGGTTATTTGATATATATATTATGCTAAAAGGTATTATGCTAAATAGTTAATTTGACCTTATTGAATAAAAGTGTTCCACTGTAGCCAAAGTCGCCTTCTCTGGGGTTACTAGGCAGTGCACCATTCTTGGTTATTCGTTGTTATGAATGTTTTTCTCAGCAGTCAAGAAGGACACCAATGCAGCAATACTGAAACCATTATGTATCATGTTATGTGCATATTAAGAATATGAAAGCTAACATTTGAATTGTAAAAATGGGCAAAACCCCAACATTTATGTCGCTAGGTTTGTTACACTAGCCCTTATTTTCCAAAGTATCTGCCAAGAGCGACCTAAACATACCGGATTATGCACAACTGTGGGTCCTTTCTGCGGCTGAAAAAATAAACAAAACAGAATTTGTTATTGTCAAAGAATATATTTTAAATGTTCAGGTTTCTTATATGGACATGAACTTAGTTACTATACAGTTTTAGCTTTATTTGTCATTATCAGACATGCGCAAGTTAATTTTGACATGCAATGAGTTAATTTTGTTTCGTTTTGGATTTTTTGTTATTTTGTTATTCGTGATTTGGGTCCGAAAGTCAATTAATTTCAGATTTCCAAAATTTTCATTAATTTCTGATGTGTTAGATATTTTTTTTATAAAAGACTTGTCAAAGACCAGTTTTTTTTTCAAATAATGGATTTTATTACAATGTTGTGTGTTTATTTACAATGTTACTGCTAATTTGGTGAATGAGTAGGGCTAACAACTACCCCTTATAAGTCCCCCTGCCAGTAGACCCCAAAACCACGGTTGTTGGGAAAAGGTCCTTGTCCTTATCAACATGCGGACAAGGTGCTTTGCCAGGGAGTCCCCCCCCTGGCAAAGCACCACCCTATGTTAAGGGCATGTGGCATGGTATGGTGGAGGAGGCACTCCGATTCCACCCCCCACCTCCTTGTGAATGAGTAAGGGGTAGTTGTTACCTACTAATTCACCAAATAACAATACATTTGTAAATAAACACAAAATACCGTCTATAAAAGTCCTTTATATGAAGAAATAAAAACACAACACAAGTCTTTTATTTTAAAAAAATGCATCTAGCAATGTATATTCACGTCAATCACAATGGATGGCAGCCACTGACTCGCCGAAAGATAACATTTCGACCGACCCTGACGGACACCGGACACAAAATGACAGCTCTGCTCCCGAATGTCAACAAAGGGGTGGGGTGAGTCGTGACTCGTGACATCACCAGACTTGTTCCACTTATTTGTTTACATTCCGTGACAGCTCTCTGTCCCCTAATGGAATGTAAACAAGTGGGAGGAACAAGTCCTGTGATGTCACAACTCACTTCGCCCCTTTGTGGACATTCGGGTCAGAGCTGTCATTTTACAGGCAGCGTTCACCAACTGAATAACTAAATGTGCCGAGCTATAAAAGTCGTGCGACCTTACAGTAGTAGAGGTCGCACGGCTTCCACACACCTTACGATAATTGTACGATCGCGGGATTTCCCGCGATTATCATACGATTATCGCAAGGTGTGTGGGGACCTTTACACATATCTGTTTGCTGGTCTAATTACACCGTTGGAGGACATCTGTGAGCGATTGGAGCTCAAGGCCCCCTCCACTGTTTAGAAGGGAATTGCCTGATTTGACCTCTTGCTCGGGGTCTATCAATAAGGTGAGCACCCTATATCTGGTGTGATGCACCATGTGGTGCACACATTTTTGCAGAGTTATGAAGATTTAAAGACTTTACACCTGATTGATTTTATTCACTGACATTTGTTTGAGTCACTGATTTTTTTATTTTATATATTTTTTTATACTCTTTATATCTGATCATTTTTATAGCTCGGTACATTTAGTTATTCATTTTTCACGTATACACACTCACAGTGGGTGTACATTCCAGTGCTTTGTAGCTGTTAGCTTGCTTATTGGCGCAGTTCATTTTCTATATATATTAATTATTGGTGTTCACCGACTCACTGGAAGTTCTGGTATGGAGGGTGAGTATCGGAGCATTTGCTGATACTCCTTATCAGCACCAATACCGATACTAGTATCGGTATCGGTGCATCCCTAATAATGCAGCAATACTGCAACCATTACGTATTATGTTATGTGCATATATAGAATATATAAGCTAAGATTTGAATTGTAGAAATGGGCAAAACCCCAACATTTTTGTCGCTAAACATACCAGATTATGCACAACTGTCACTTTTTTCTGCTTCTGAAAAAAAACAGAATTTTTTATTGTCAAAGAATATATTTTAAATGGTTCGGCTACCTATATTGACATGAAATTAGTTACTATACAATTTTAGCTTTATTTGTCATTATTAGACATGTGTGCCGGCAAAGAATTTGTTTCATTTTGGATTTTTTTTTTATTTCATTTTTTGGGATTCGAATCCGAAAGTCAGTTCGTTTCGGGATTTGCATTTGGGTGAATCTGAAGTTTTTGTTAATTTTGAATGTGTTAGAAAATTACAAAATAATTTTTGTTGCAGCAAAGTGACTTTAGAAAAAAAACTTTTCAACTTTTAAAAGTCCACAGACATACTAAAAAAAAAAGTTGGGTCCCTCCTAAAATCCCCTGCCAGACTCATAATCTAAGCAGTAGCCTGGGAGAGGAAAGGGTGGGGAGCATAACCCCCGACCATCCTAGACCACATGCTCTCAACATGGGGAGGGTGCTTTGCCAGGGGAGGACCCCCTGGCAAAACACCTTGCCCCATGTCGATGAAGACAAGAGCCTCTTTCCCACAACCCTGGGCTGATGGTTGTGTGGATCTGCAGGCAGGGGGGTTTATCTGAATCTGGGTGCCCCCTTTCATGCCGTCACCTCATGAATGAGTAAGGGGTAGTTGTACACCTACTCATTCACCCAAAAAAAAGTCAAATTGTAAATAAACACACCACAACGTAATCAAAAACACAACAAAAGGTTTTTGACAAGTCTTTTATTTTAAAAAAAAAATGTCCATCAATATAATCCACAGGTCAATCACGTCATCCAGCTATGCAGATCCACGTCAATCATGATAGACGATGGCCGCTGACTTGCCGAAAGAAAAATATACCCGACGCCTGCCGACACGACTGAACCCACCAAACTCTCACCACACAATGACAGCTCTGACCCGAATGTCATGGCAGGGGCAGAGCGAATCGTTGCGTCATGAGACTTGTTCCGCCCATTTGTTGACATTCGGGAACAGAGCTGTCAATCATGGGAACTCTGCTCCCAAAATACTATTCGGGATCAGAAGCAGAGCTATCATAATGAGACATGCTATTCGGGATTCCAGAATAGCAATCTGGAGCAAAGCTACTATCACTGACCGCTCTGCTCCCGAATGTCAACAAATGGGCAGAACAAGTCCCATCACGTTACGACTCACTCCACCTCTTTGTTGACATTCGGGTCAGAGCTGTCATTTTGCGGGGAGAGTTCAGCGGGTTTGGTCGTGTTGGCTTGCGTCATGTATTTTTTCTTTTGGTGAGTCGGCGGCCGTTGTCCATCGTGATTGACGTGGATCTACAAAACTGGCCATGTGATTGACCGTTGGATTACATCGCTGGACACTTTTTTTTTTTTTTTTATAAAATAAAGGACTTTTGTTTACGGCAGCTGGTAGTTTATCTTTTAAACCATGGAGTGGATCACTGAGTGATATTTTGTGGACTAAGATTCCAACAAAGAAACCTCTTAAGAAATTGCAGCAGCATGTGTGCTCTATGTTAATTTGGTCCACATACGTACTACTATTTCAAGCTAGCCGTGCGTTTGTAAATATCATTCCCCAGTATGTCAGTATACACCTAATTTCATAAATATTCTATATTCTCGTTGCTGAGGTTATTATAGAGGTAGTCATGAATATTATCAAAATAACGTCACACAACCCAGTATTTTTTTTTAAACAAATGCTGTTGTCGGTATGTCCATACACATCTCCATGTACTGGAAGGATGGGCAGGGATATGTAGTGTATAATTTGCATGTTACAGGCTTTTTAATTATACAGATGAGAGGTGAAAGTTCTAATTATCAGTATATTATGTCATTAACAACCTGTAATAAAACAAATTCCCCCAAATCCCTGTGCACCCCCAAAACAGGCACCCTCCATTGCTTGTACAGTCCACTCCCATCCTCTACTCTGAACTCTGCTGGTGACTGAATGCCTTCAAAAGAGGGTAAGAACCAAATTTTAGGGAGAGTTGATTTGTGCAGAAATCTTTAGCTTGGAAGAACGTGGAGCGTTTTAACCTGTCCATTTCCAACTTTCACAGTGAAGCTTTTGTGACTTACCATGTGTGCTGAAAACACCGGCTGAGCCTGTAAGTGGAAGAACAATAATGTCAGTCATTATTAGAAGGGAGGATATGAATCAGGTTTGCATTATATTGGCAAGCGAACTAGTTGTTATTAAGCACCATGATGCAAAGCACATCAGAGCAACAGGCAAAGCTGCTCAGTCACAAAGCTGCTTTGTTCACAAACTATGCCGCCAATAATGTCACCTATGCTTCACAGCTTATATCAGCTCATGTTATTTATTAGATGGGTTGTGTAAGCATAATATAAAAGAAGACTGCTGAGGGATAACGTTATATCAAGAGATTTTATACATGTCTATGTCTGTCTGTATGATAGAAGAGATAAAGAGGTAGGCTGCACTTAGACACTGCAGTCTATGAGAAGTCCCACAGACTTCTCCCAATTACAAAATAATTTTTGTTGCAGCAAAGTGACTTTAGAAAAAAAACTTTTCAACTTTTAAAAGTCCACAGACATACTAAAAAAAAAAGTTGGGTCCCTCCTAAAATCCCCTGCCAGACTCATAATCTAAGCAGTAGCCTGGGAGAGGAAAGGGTGGGGAGCATAACCCCCGACCATCCTAGACCACATGCTCTCAACATGGGGAGGGTGCTTTGCCAGGGGAGGACCCCCTGGCAAAACACCTTGCCGCATGTCGATGAAGACAAGAGCCTCTTTCCCACAACCCTGGCCCGATGGTTGTGGGGATCTGCGGGCAGGGGGGTTTATCTGAATCTGGGTGCCCCCTTTCATGCCGTCACCTCATGAATGAGTAAGGGGTAGTTGTACACCTACTCATTCACCAAAAAAAAAAGTCAAATTGTAAATAAACACAGCACACCGTAATCAAAAACACAACGAAGGTTTTTGACAAGTCTTTTATTTTAAAAAAAAAATGTCCATCAATATAATCCACAGGTCAATCACGTCATCCAGCTATGCAGATCCACGTCAATCATGATAGACGATGGCCGCTGACTTGCCGAAAGAAAAATATACCCGACGCCTGCCGACACGACTGAACCCACCAAACTCTCACCACACAATGACAGCTCTGACCCGAATGTCATGGCAGGGGCAGAGCGAATCGTTGCGTCATGAGACTTGTTCCGCCCATTTGTTGACATTCGGGAACAGAGCTGTCAATCATGGGAACTCTGCTCCCAAATACTATTCGGGATCAGAAGCAGAGCTATCATAATGAGATATGCTATTCGGGATTACAGAATAGCAATCGGGAGCAAAGCTATCACTGACCGCTCTGCTCCCAAATGTTAACAAATGGGCAGAACAAGTCCCATCACGTTACGACTCACTCCACCTCTTTGTTGACATTCGGGTACATCGCTGGACACAATTTTTTTTTTTTTTAAATAAAATAAAGGACTTTTGTTTACGGTGTTGTGTGTTTATTTAAAATTTGACTGTTTTTATTTAGTGAATGAGTAGGGATAACAACTATCCCTTACTCATTAATGAGGGAGGGGACCACATCTGGGTGCCACCATTATGAAAGGGGGCGCCCAGCTTCAGGTAAGGCCCTCTGCCCATAGACCCCCACAACCACCAGGCCAGGGTTGTGGGGAAGAAGCCCTTGTCCCCCCTGTGTCCTCTTAAAAATTTCTACCAGACCTGGCATAAATTGGGGAGGGGACTAAACCCCTTTTTTTATTTTAACATTTAACATAAATTTATTCAGAATGACATTTACAAAAAAATTTGCATGCATCCGAAATAATCATTATCAGAATGTGTGAATTTCGTCTGAATTTCAATTCGGAACAAAACGAATCGCACATGTCCAGTCATTACAAGAAAATGCATTATAAGAAAATGCAGTCATGTTTTACATACAACATGGAAGCTTACCTTAATTGCCCCAAACACTGTAGCTGCCATACTTGGTGCCTGAAACAAGTATAAATAATATAATAAAAATAGGTGTTTAATGTGTCCCTTTTTTTAGATCTAAAATATATCTAGTTCTAAATCAGACTATATATATTTTGGATACAACAGTAAACTTAAAGAAATAATGTTACAAATGTTATCGCTACTTAACGTTAATGGCACAGCACCAGCTCCAAAACTGAGATCTTTGACATTTACAGTGGAAGTAAAGGAAATTGGTCGGCTTTTAATGGCAGAAGGGTATACTGTGTAAGTCTCTTCTACCATAAAAGCTTCTGTCTACTATTCAGCAATTTCTGTTCGCTGAGCCGTGCATGGGCAGCTCAGCGCACAGACCCAGCATGCCAAGATAAAGAAACTCCCATGCGCACATGTGGGAGCTACTTCAGGCTGTCCAGCCAATTTAGAGGCAGAATATGTAAAACCTGGAAGAGAACCGAGTAGTAGATTGAAGCGCCAGAGAGGGAGGATCGAGGTGCTGGAGGAATTGGTTTGGAGGGTAAGTCTGCCAAAATGTGCTAACATACTGTGCATACTAGACCATCATGGATTAAAGCTCCTATTTTTCTTTCACTGTCACACTACTATCACTTTAAGTACATTTCCCTTGCAGACTATTTGTCCTCTACCCAAAACAGTAAATCTTTCTTAAAACTAAAGCCAATATGTCTTTTTTTTCATAGCATGGAGAAGGGTTCAAACCTGTCAGTTTTTTACTGCTGTCTGTGTTGCAATCACACCAATTCTCTACAGTTTAAATGGCTTTAGATACACATTAATTATTTGTTTTTGTTTGGGATAGGGTATGGGAGAGTATAACTCCTATCAGCTTATATTTGTGCCCATTGGGGAGATTTCCCTTTACTTCCTGTCTAATAGAAAACAGGAAGTAAGAGAAAATCCCTCTAAAGTGAGGGAAATCCCTGGTGGTGAGAAGGGTCACCAAAATTAGTGTCTCTATAGGAAGATCTCCAGACTAATAGATAGGGCGACTCTCCCTAAAGGGGGCATAAACAGCTATACAGACCTGACAAATGTTCTAATCACTCTCCACTCTATCCAAAACTAAAACAAAGTTTTGGCTTCAGTTGCACTTCAAGTAAAAGCATTATAAAGATTTTTTTTTAAACGGCAGCTGGTAGTTTATCTTTTAAACCATGGAGTGGATCACTGAGTGATATTTTGTGGACTAAGATTCCAACAAAGAAACCTCTAAAACAATTGCAGCAGGAAGTGTGCTCTATGTTAATTTGGTCCACATACGTACTACTATTTCAAGCTAGCCGTGCGTTTGTAAATATCATTCCCCACTTCATTTCATAAATATTCTATATTCTCGTTGCTGAGGTTATTATAGAGGTAGTCATGAATATTATCAAAATAACGTCACACAACCCAGTATTTTTTTTTAAACAAATGCTGTTGTCGGTGTGCCCATACACATCTCCATGTACTGGAAGGATGGGCAGAAATTTGTAGTGTATAATTTGCATGTTACAGGCTTTTTAATTATACAGATGAGAGGTGAAAGTTCTAATTATCAGTATATTATGTCATTAACAACCTGTAATAAAACAAATTCCCCCAAATCCCTGTGCACCTCCAAAACAGGCACCCTCCATTGCCTGTACAGTCCACTCCCATCCTCTACTCTGATCTCTGCTGGTGACTGAATGCCTTCAAAAGAGGGTAAGAAACAAATTTTAGGGAGAGTTGATTTGTGCAGAAATCTTTAACTTGGAAGAACGTGGAGCGTTTTAACCTGTCCATTTCCAACTTTCACAGTGAAGCTTTTGTGACTTACCATGTGTGCTGAAAACACCGGCTGAGCCTGTAAGTGGAAGAACAATAATGTCAGTCATTATTAGAAGGGAGGATATGAATCAGGTTTGCATTATATTGGCAAGCGAACTAGTTGTTATTAAGCACCATGATGCAAAGCATATCAGAGCAACAGGCAAAGATGCTCGGTGATGCCTCATATATTGTTTGTTCACAAACTATGCCGCCAATAATGTCACCTATGCTTCACAGCTTATATCAGCTCATGTTATTTATTAGATGGGTTGTGTAAGCATAATATAAAAGAAGACTGCTGAGGGATAACGTTATATCAAGAGATTTTATACATGTCTATGTCTGTCTGTATGATAGAAGAGATAAAGAGGTAGGCTGCACTTAGACACTGCAGTCTATGAGAAGTCCCACAGAGGGCAGCACTGACATGAAGCTTCTCATTACCAGCTTACAGCTCAGCCAGTCCAATTCAGAAAAATACATTATTATAACTTCGTCAAAATGTTGTTTTAAATGAATGGCATCATTTTATTCCTTAAAGGAGAACTATGGGGTCAGGGCTTCTCCCCATAGTTCTCCTAAGGAGAACCAGTCCCGCCAGTCAGCGCTGGAGGATCGGACAGGGGAGGGGGGAGGGGGAATCCCTCCAGGGAGCCGTAAGTGACAGTCACGGCTCTCTGCAGGGATAGATCGAGAAGTGACCGAGCGACGGTATGTGTTCGCTCACTTCCCCGTCTACTGAGCCGACCTGTGACAGTTTCATTGTCACAGGTCGGCTCAGATTATGAGGCTGGGTGAAAATCACTCACCTCATAATTCTCCTTTAATTTCTGGCAATACAGATATCCACATTATGCAAAAAAATATATATTTACAGTTTATCTAAACCCCAACAATAAAATGTTATTGTTTGCTCCCTTTTGGTTTAGTAAATAAACCATTAAGCAAAAAATATATTTTAATCTTACCAGAGATCTTTTATTTGATAACTTCCTGCCTGCGCTGCACTGATATCAGCTATATTGTTCTGAGAACTACAGCAGGCCATCTATCTACATTATGGACAAGAGGACAGGAGGAACCCCTTATCCCTGTCCTGTTCTTGTTGTCCTGATACAGTACGGTCAGTTAACGTTGTCATGATAGTGCAGGAGGTGTGTTACTGACAGACTCACCAGAAGAAACGAAAAAGAAAAAAAAGCCTACAAAACAAAATGAATGCAGCCACAAGACTGGTAGACTGCAATACTGTATATTACATTTTTGTTTTGGGGTTTAGATACGCTTTAAACTTTGTATTCAGCCTGTCATGGCCCCTTCAAGCAGTGCTCAGTATATCCTATAATGCAGGCATGTGCGGTCAGGGGAGGCAGGTGAGACAGAGCCTCACCTAGTATTATGCAGGGAAAATGCTGTCAGCTTCAAGTCTGCAATGCACTTTATTTCCTTGATTTCCTTACATTTATTTTCCACTATCATATTACACAACCCTGGAGGCAGTTTGATCAGATGTCACCTCCAATTACGCTTTTACCAATTTACACACTTGAACATGGAGAGAACATACAGATCCCATCTGGATGTTGCTGGGATTTAAACCAATTGCCTAAAGCTTATATGAAAAAGATTTTTGAGAAAAAATGTTGCTAAACCTACAGAAAAAAATAAGTATTCTAATAGTTTACTTGCAGCGTGTCTTCTGTCCATAAACTATTTTTTATTTCCTTGCAATGTGCCTCTGAACTGAGCTAGAAAATTTGGCTACTCCAGAAAATGTCAATGCCCTAGCCCAGAACTCCTTCCACCTTGCATATCACAGTCCTTTTCTGTGAGTGTCTAATTACTCTCTGTGCTGGCCCATCTCCTCCACTCTTCCTTTCAATATCCCTGAAAAATCTTTTAAGTAGCTGCCATAGAGTATCACTTTAGTAAGTCTTCTGGGGCTGCTGATATCACATCTAAGATGGCAGCACCCAGCAGAAGTCTCAGGGATTTTTAATGTGTACACAAGTGAGGCGTTTACAGGTAAATAGTATACTTTAAAGCAGAAGTAAACCGCTTTGCAATTGTTTTGGTTTTGCACTAATGTGCAAGTTTGCACAGCATGCTTTAACTGTAGGGCACACTTACCTTAGAGGTGTGCCCTTGCATAGCGCTGTCGGATTGATCTTCAGCCCCCCCACCGCCACAGCCACCTCCGTCGCTGACACTTCTGTGTTCCGGAAGTCCTCTTCGACTATTGGGTGGCTACTAATGATGTAACTCCTGCGCATGCGCACAGGTGTTACATCCTCCCGCCCCCATACTATATACACTGCATGGTGCATGCATGGTGCATGCATGCGGCGTAGAGTGTACACAAAAAAATAAAAAAATTGCTGGGTGAGAGAGGAGGTTTTTTTGGTCAGAAGAGACTTTGCATGACTCTCCAAAAATCCCTACCTCCCAGCAATTTGTTTTTCCACTTTTATATACATTGAATTCACATATATTCTTATAGGAACTTTTTTTGCTGAAATAAAAGGTCTGGCAATAGGCTCTCTTTAAACAGAGCACTTCCAAATACACCAAAACCTTCATCTAATCCATATCCAGCTGCCACTTCCCATACTTGACATTATGTTTATTGGTCAATTACAGGTGCCCAAGAGGGAAAGGATATCAGCCAATCTAGCATTGCAAAGGCACATACTCACTGCATATGGAGTGTATGGCGGTGGTGCAGGAGTCATCTCCGCCTAAAATTATAAACAAAGGGCGTTAGTTTTAGGAAAGAACTCCAAGCAGATCATTACAAACCCCCTCTATTTACATGTGATCACTTTTCATTAGGGTAATGCAATAACCTGATTTTTTTCTGTGCTGAACTGCTACATACCATTTGAAAGAGGACATCAGGGTTACAACAGGAAAGCCTGCTTTGTAAGCAGAAGTGTGATGAACTAGGCCCAGCTTTCAGGAGGGAGAGAGCTCCAGGTGAGCATCGCCAGTGTGGTTGTTATTGGTCCAAAGAACGGGCAGGAGGCGAGGCAGTGACACAATATCTGCAGGACTGCAGGCTTTGGATAGGTATGGTCACCTTTATTATTTTTAAACAGCTATACAGCATGGCAGGAGTGGCTGGATGATAATAATTGATTTTGTACTATTGGTAGATAAAACAATTCTTCTACAAGTGTAAAAAGCTTTTTGGCTGGGGTCAACCCAGGTTGTCTTCACATGTATGTGTATCCGCTTTCATGTATTTTTTAATTTTTTTTGTATTAATGTGTGTTTTCAGGCATTTGTGTGTTTTCTCAAATTATGTGCTCAGCATCTATAGAGCTGTCAGAATAGTCTGTTATTTTTCCAATGAAGCCCTGCCAAAAGGTGATTGCCTGTTGCCAGATGAGGGTTACGATAACCATGCCTTTGCAAGGCAAGGAAACACATGTATTTTGCATTTTCATGTGCTCCAATTCATGAATGAAATGAAACATTTTCGTGAACTATTTCCTATGACACGCCGCAAGTTTTATATGTGAATACGACCCATTGAAAACAATAGGATTCCAAGTGGCATGCCTTATGAATTATTATAACGTGTGCATTATGATGTATTTAAACACATGATTTGACATGCCATTTTTTTGATTGGGTCTGTTTCACATATATATGTTGCAGCAATTCATAGAAAATAGTTACAGCTTTTTATCCCTTAATAAGTTTCAAGGTGCCCATAGAAGTTAGCAGGAGCGTATGAAAATGCATGATAGATGCATATTATATCTTTTGTCTGCATTGCATACAGACAAAGATATGATTTTTAGAGATTAAATATAATGTTTTTATTCCAGTGCATAGCCATGTCAGTGGTGTGAATTTATATACAGATGTCTTTGGTTTTTGTAATTGGTTTGTGTATCGTAATTCAGAAAATACATGTTAAAAAATATCATATAAAATACTATAATACAAAACACCTCTATATACAGTATGTATAATCTACATGAAAAAACATTTATGTAATGCCGCCCCACCACCACCACAACCAGTTACCTCAATGATGCCCAGGTAGTAAAATACTTACTATCATCACCTGAGATCTTCTGAGCCGCATCGGCTCCAACTGCGCGCATGTGCAGCATTCACCTTAATTACTCCTATGCTGGTCCATACTCATGGAGGCCCTGAGCTATATATTCATTTTTATGTACCAATCCATAGTAATGATTGAGGCAAGCAGCGCACATGCACAGTAGGATGTGTAGGGATCCCAACCTGTAAAAAGTAATTTCAAGGAGATGCCCTCCTCATTTCAGGAAGGTGCCCTCTGCCACCCCAAACCACCATCCGCGGGGGGAGTAGAAAACCCCCTTAAATGATGGCAGATAGCAAAGAAGCTATTGCTTCCCGTGCTATCTGCTGGGTTTTTTTTAGCTGCTGCCGTCAGAATAAAAAAAAAAAAAAACCTGCATAGGAATGACCAGCTAGATTGCTATTGGCTATTTCATTTACAATAGCCAATAGCACGGCTGGCTTCAGGTCCATCTCTGCTGTTTGAGAGCAGCAGTGGGCGAGTGCAATAACTAGTCCGCTATTGGCTATTGCAAATTGAAATAGCCAGTAGAAGCCTAGCTATTCCTTCCTATGCTTTTTTTTCTCTGACGGTGGCCAGTGGCCCCGATGTCAGAAGAGAAAAAAACAGCAGGGAAAGATTTACTCTGCTAGATAGAGTAACCCTTTCCGGGAGAAAATGTTTCTCTCCTGGGACGGCCGGGAGCCGCTATCTAATAGCGGGAGACTCCCAGAACGTTGGGGAGAGTTGGGATGTCTGGATGTGGTTAGGAGTTTTCACTGTAAAGGCTGTGCATGGCTGTGCAGTGCAGTCCTCAGGGGTGGGCTGAGCTTCACTGGCGGGGGAAAAAAGAGCATAAAAGGACAATTTTACTAAAAGTAAACTCCTTAAGAGGAAACCTGTACTGAGAAAATATGGACGCCATCATTGCTGACCTTAGCTTCTGAAAATGCTAACAGTCTGGCTATCATGCTGTTCCAGTGGCTTTAATACTTTATGAGGCACTGAGCTGGGACAAATATGCAGTTTGGGAGTTCTAATTTTCTAATCTGTAGGCTTGCTCTGGATCACTGCATTGGAAAATAAAGTGGTTTTAAAGAAGCTCAGTAATGGCGGCCCCCATACTTCTCCTAGTACAGGTTTTATTACACTAAAGCATTGGTGGTACTTACAGGTGATGGGTGAAAGGTGACACAGGAGAGGCTGACATCACCACTAACTTTAATGGATTGGATGTTCTGATAGGACATGCGGTGCCGATATTCTAACAGGAACTGCCCATTCGCTGTGACCTGAAATGTATAAAATTACAAAAGTAACTAAATGTGTTGGAATTCTCAAAACTGTTCCAGAAATTCAAACATTTGGATTTTCCCCCACAATGGTCACCAAGACCAACAGAGAGGAGAGATCTTCCTAATGGTGACACAGACAACAATTAAAGGCTGACAGACGTTCTAACCCCTCAAGTTTTGGGTTTAGATACACTTTAAAGCTTGAATTCTGGTACTGAATGACAGATGCAGAGAAGAAGAGGGGCCAGAGTTCTGCACATGCGAGTAAACAATTAGACAGTTCAGCAGTGGTATCAGTCAGGACCTTCACACCTCAACAAGTTCTAAGCTGATTCCAGTCTAGTAGATCCCCATCCCCCATAATATGCAAGAGATATATCAATCAAATGAAGAAAAAAATATCAGTTTTGGTTGAAGATATTGTTTATAACTTTTAGCTTTGGTACACTCACCTGAAATGCATGTCCTACCACAGCAATGGAGATATCAAAGAATGCATTCCTTTGGAAGGGCATATGGTTCTTCCTCTCTTCAGCGCCCCAGCTGTGGCTCTGCATGGTGTTACACACAATGACACATTCGTCAAAACGAGGGTTGAAGTGAAATGCGATGTCATTGTTGAAAGAGACAAAGTCTATGGCACATCTGTAAAAAAAAAAAAGGGGACAGGGATACCATTTATTCATGACAGGTATTTATATAGCACTAACAATTTAGCAGTCCCTGCCATCAAGGAACTTACAGTCTAAGGTCTCTACCTAACATACCAAGGCAAATTTAGACATGATTCCATGCAACCCCCTAAGCCACATCATAACTAGCTAGAAAATGAAGGTAAGTTTCTTGTGATACTAAAGGATAGCAGATATGATGAACTGGATACAGTGCTTTGCATAAGAATTAAAGGAGAACTATTGGGAGAGTAAAATGTACTCTTTCCAATTAGTTAGGCCTGCGCGTGACACTGCAGCTGTCACATACTGGCTCTATAACTTGAGCACTCAAGTGACCACAAACCACTGATCGGCGAGCTCACGGTCTTCTCCCTGCAGAAAGCAGTGACCGTAAATCATCACTCCCTGTAGGGATTCCCCCCCTCCCCTCTCTCTGTTCCTCCAGAGCTCATTGGAGGGACAGATAGGTGAGGGGGTGGGCAAAGCTCTGCCCCCCCACCCTCTCAGTGGAACCATCAATGGCTGTAACTGGCAGCTGTGAGTTTTTTGGGAAGTAAGTTTGTATCATCTCTGCGTATCGGTGTCTGGCATTTTGTGTCCATTCTCCTTAGCATAATTGCTCTATCTCTGCCACATTGGACGGGGGATGTTGGTGAACAGCTTCTTGGCTTTAAACCAATTTGGTGTACGTTTGGGTGTTTGTTTAGGGTAACTGGCTTGCTAGAAGGGGGCACACGGCCCTATCATAAGTTTCTTTGTGTAATGAAACAGGTTTTCTTCTAGAGTTGCCTGTAATTAGTTAAATGCATCTTGCCAATAGTCCTTGCAAGTGAAAAGCATCCCCAAAACTTGATCCCGTCACCATGGGTGAGGGTGATCCATTGTGGTGATTTTGCTTTTGTTTACCACTGTTGTGCACTTATATTTACTTTTTTATCACTGGGGTGCTCCTTTTTTATGCATCGTATAATTTTTATCTCCCCTAATGAAGCCACCTAGAAACATGTTGACATTGGGGTTGTGGGGTATGTTTGATTAATATCTACGTCTCTGACTCATGGTTGAAATATGAGGAACAAGGGACAGTTAATAGGGATAGAGAGTGTTCCCTATTATCTACTTTACCCTTCACTCTCTTTTGGCTCAAAATATAAAGATAATTTAGGAGGAGACATAAATAATAACAAATAAGAGCAAAGGAAAGGATTTTAGATTTCTTTAATAACAATTTAAATTCCTGACATTGGACCACATTCATCTGGCATTTAATGGCTACATTCACTCTATATTAGGGTTAATGTTGCCCAACTTTCAGTGCTTTCACTCGCTGGCCACTATGTTGTCACTGCAGAACGCAGAAGTAACACAGCAGCCAGCAGATGAGGTGTGTAGTGCGGGATAAGCTATCAGACACACCTGGATGTATCAGATACAGCAGCCTTAAACATGTCCAAACCCAAAAAATAAAATGCAATTTATTGCAGATTACTATTCCTTAGATGTGCTGGCTTTTTTACTTTTTTTCTCTTTATTTTTCACTTGGTGATCCAGCCAGTAACACACTTCCTGTCTTAGGTGGCTCAATTCTATGGAAGAGATGTGGAGCCACCCTTGGACAGCGGATTATCAACCTCTGGGGAGGCTAGTGTGAGATGTACTAGCTGAGTTAGATGGACTTGGCTAACAAATTAAAATTGAACTCCATTTTACACTTTTTTAAGCAGTTAGAATCAGTATTATTTGTTTTCCTTTTGGGATAAAGGTTTTACCTAAATGAATAAAAAACGACCATTGTAAGTACCCCTGTCAGTGTTAAATGGTTTTATTCAACCCTCTAACTGCCAGTTTTGCTGGACAATTTGGTCTGTAAAAGTAAGTTGAACAATAACAGACTTACTTGCTGGGAAAAATATTGGAAAAAAAGCACAAAAAAAAAGAATGCAGCCATATTTAAAGATTGGTAAGCTGCAAATATTAAACCTTTGCTTTTGGGTTTAGATATGCTTTAAGTTGAGTTTTGTCTCGATCAGCCCCATATGCTGTGTAGCCGACAGCATCCTTAATAGCCAGTGATGCTGACAGTGGACAGAGCCTGATGGGGAATACCTGAAAGACTAGTTCCACATAAGGCCTGCCTCCCTTGTGATTGACAGCAGGCAGTAGACAGATTCCATAGCCAATGGCAGGCTGTCTATTGGCTATGGAATCCGTCCACTGCCTACTGTCATTAACAAGGGAAGCAAGTGGGTGTGATGGGGAACTAGTCTCTCAGAGTTCCCCCTAATGCTTCACCCACTGTCAGTGTCATTGGTGGCTAAGAGACTGTTGGCTATGCAGACAGAAAACCAGCCATTTAGCATTTTTTAAGGAGAGCAGTGGCATGTCCCCTCAATTTTGTATAAAACGTATTCTGCCGGTGCTCCGTAACATACCTCTTAGCATGGCTGTGGACTTGTCCTTGGATTGTCACTCTCTTTCCATCTGAGATCCCCCCAAGTATGGCACTCTGGAAGGGGACAGGCTGAATAAAAAAAGAGAGGTGTCAGAACCATCAATTAATTTAATAAAGTTTAAAATAAAATATCTTTTACACATCATAACAAGAGTTCGGACAAGATAAAATTGCAGTTTTGGATGTCTATTAGCCGGGTATGAATTTTGATCTCCTATCTTTACTAAGCTTCTATGTATATAAAGACATGAACTGGGGGAAGAATCCTCTCTTACTTCCCTTACTTCACAAATCTAGGAGCGGATTGGAGTTACAACTGACTTTTAGTCTGCTTATAGTTTGCCTTCCCTAGTTCTGCTTTACCCTCTCATCAACATGCTAATGAACACTTTTTATAAAGCTTTTATGTTTTATTACATACCTTAATTTAAACCCTATGACATCATCACTTGGTCTCAATGCTTCTTTATGCAATGCAGGCAGATCATGGTTGTTGGGATGGGCCGGCAGGGTGCTCTGCATAGCTTCCTGAAAACATCACAGCACCCTGTTTCCTCAGCCCTGATGCAAGCAATGGTTTGGCTCTTGGGAAGAATTAAGCAAATATCAAAATACCTTTACTGACAGATGGCTGTCAGTCTAGAACAGTGGTTCTCAACCTGTGGGTCGGGACCCCCTCGGGGGTTGAATGACGATTTGCCAGGGGTCGCCTAGTGGCTCTCGGCCGCCGGGAGAGAAACACTTTCTCTGTTTTGTTTTTTTAAATCGGGGGCCGCCGTAAGTCAGAAAAAAAAAACCCACCATAGGAATGCATAGCTAGATTCCTATTGGCTATTTCACTTTGCAAAAGCCAATAGCAAACTAGCTATTGCACCCGCCCTCTGATGCTGCCAATCAGCAGAGGGGGACCTGAAGTTCTCCATCAGGTCCCCTTCTAGTGATTGACAGCAGCAGAGGATGGGTGCAATATGTAGGTATTCAAGCAAAAAAATATGTAAAACACACCTCTAGCTATGCATTCCATTTTCCCGGTCCGCAGCTGCAGAGATCAGGAAATGTCTCAGTGCCTGTGATTGGCACTGCGCGCTGTCAGCTTCCTGGCGGGCTCGGCACGTGGAGCTGCGAACACGCCCGAGCCCATCTCTATCAGTGACAGTACTGCGGAGTATGTACCTCATACGTTATATAGCCACACACTTTCAATCCAATTCTTCTAGTTACAGCTGCAGAGCCTGGTCCTGTCTTTGCCTATAGCAGTGGTTATCAATCTGTGGGTCGCTGTGCAAGGTGAGAGTCTTCCTCAGCTCTCTCCTAGCGCAGCAGTGTCAGTTCTCCTGCCATGCCTCCAGATGTCGTTGTAGCAGCCGCGGCATCCCTAAATTTTACCTTTGGGGGTCACCACAACTTCGCAAATGTTACCAAGGGGTCCCGGCCCTAGAAAGGTTGAGAACCACTGGTCTAGAAGAGTGTGCATGCCTAGGCAGGTTGTATTTGCATAGAGACTGCCCTAGGTACCACCCCCATGCGATGCTGAGCCTCCATGACTGAAAGAACTGGAATCCAATTAATGAAACGGGTGGGTCAGGGACAGTAAGGCTGAGGAGGAAAAAGCTAGATGATGCTGGAAGATCCTCCAGCCAGGAAATTAAGCAGGCTCTGACTTGCTGCTGCTTCTAATGCACATTGTGAGAAGCTCACAGTATGAAGTGAAATCAGAGTAAGCATTTTAGTACAGGGGAGGTGCTGGTAAAACTGTGCAAGACTGAAGGTAAGGCTGGAGCTCAGCTTTAAGAAGTGCCAGCACTTTGTTGATTTAAATTCTTAAAATTAAAGTTACAAAAAAAATTAAAATGTAATGTCACATATATATAAAAAATAAAAGTCCCCGCCCCCATATACACACACAAACATGCGTCGAGTGCGCCTATGTGCGAAAATGATGATTGGGCCCATTGCACCACACATGTTACATACTACCCCGAACGTCAGAGTGAGGGCAAAAATTGTAGGGCCATTAATCACTGTTAACACTAATCTGATGAGCGGTAAAAGCTTTTAAAGCGCCTTCTATGGCCAATTTTGGGTATGGTATTTTTTGCAATTTCGCGAGCACAATTTTAAGGCTTGACATGTTTGGTGTCTATTTACCCGACATGACCCCGTCTTTTATATTTTACCAAAAATGTGGTTAAGAATAAATGTTTTATAACATAACGTAGGAAAAACGTTTTTTTTAAAAACGTTTTCTGTACTATTTTGTTATATAGTAAAAAATAAAAACCCCAGCAGTGATGAAATACCACCAAAAGAAAGCTCTACCTGTCCCCAAAAATGGTATAAAATGTATTTCAGTGCAGCATTGCATGACGGAATAAAGGTCAGTCAAAAAACCGCAGCGCTGAATACTGAAATATGGCCTGGACAGTAAGGGGGATAAAAGGAGAATTATGAGGAGAGTGATTTTAACTCAGCCTCATAATCTGAGCCGACGTGTGACAATAAAACTGTCACACGTCGGCTCAGTAGATCGGGAAGTGAGCAAACACATACCGTCGCTTGCTCACTTCTCGATCTATCCGTGCAGAGAGCCGTGACTGTCACTTACGGCTCCCTGCAGGGTACAGCTGGCTCTGCCTCTAGATAGGCTAAGCCAGCTGTCACTCAAGCAGCTGGGTGGATTCAGACATAATTTTCGGGATCCGTTCCGGCTGCGGCGTCTCAGCTACAGCTCGCGGTATACTGAGCTTTGGGTGAGGGGAGGCCACTAGTTTGTGTCCTCCCGTTACCCTTAGGAGAACTATAGGGAAAAACACTGACCCCATAGTTCCCCTTTAACATTCCGGCCTACTATCACTATTAGGCCCTTTCACATGGGTGATCTGATAGGGTCAGTTTTTCTCGATGGGAGTCCGTTTACACCTGGTTACCCCCGATTCCGGTCAGCTCCAGAAAATCAAACAGATCAGAGATCCGTTTCGCCAGACCGGGTTATGCCGGATCGCCATTTACATCCACTTTCCCATAGACTGACATGGGGTCTGGTAATTGCAATTTTTGTCCTCTATCACAAGATGGAGGAAAAATCTGTACGGACACGGATGTCAGAGCGGTAATATCCCTTCTTTACTGCTGTGATCAGGAGAGTATCCGTGCATGGATCCTCTCCTGATCAGTGTGAACGGGGCCTAAGTGTCATTCAGTATTAAAATGATCCATAATTCCTAAATTAAACAATAGAATAATCTGTGATATTGTAATATTGCTGGCAATGTGCCACTGATCATTTTGGAAAAAAGCCCAGCTTGGGGTTCCCATTGCTATTTCACAACTAACCAAGTAAAGTGATAGATTTGAATGCCAAAAACAAAAACTGAAAAAAAAAAAGATAAGAAAACAAAGAAACCTGAAAACAAAAGATAGAACAAAATAATAGAAAAGAATGTTACAAAGAAATGAAAAATAGGTATAACAGGAAATATGAAGTGAAAGAAGTACACCACCAAACTGCGGTCACAGAGATGTCACACACAGGGCAAAGCTGATCAGAACGACAGAACAGCAAAAAGGGAACAATGAATACAAACTTCCTCAAATAATACAATAATATATTCTAAGAAACACTATCTGGTTCTCATTTACTTCCCTTCACAATTCTAATTGGACAAAGGGGCGTTTTTTTGCACGGACATATTAGTGACATTTAATCATGATCTACTGTTTGGAGCTGAATTTTTAGGCTTAGGACTCGTTCTCATGATCTGCAATTTGCCTTGTCATGTGTGGTGACAGATCACATCACCACATTCCGGTGGTGTGTGCTTAAAACAAATGATGGCATGCAGTACTTTTTTTTTTTAAGCACACCACAGTGAGACGTGGTACAACCTCATCACACCGCAGTGAACTCATAGAACCTAATGAAATCTCACATCTCAATAAAGTTCTACCAACAGCGCATCAGCGCTGTCCAGGCACACGTAACCAGCAGCTGTGCAGTTAAACGCGGTTGCTGGTTTGTACTGAGCAAGCCCTCAGGGTTTGTTCCCATCATCTCTTGACCACATCTGGATGCAGACATAACAACTATTAGATAGCGGCTCGCGGCCGCAAAACATTTTCTCCCGAAGAGCTTTACTCGGCTTGATCTAGCGCAGTAAACCTATCCCTGCTATCTGTTTTTTTGTTTTGTTAGGATATCGAGGGCCACTGGCTGCCGTCAGAGAAAAAAAAATCATAGAAATGAATAGCTAAATTGCTATTGCAATTTGCAATAGCCAATAGCTGACTAGCTATTGCACCCGCCCACTGCTGCAGTCAATCAGCAGAGGTGGACCTGAAGTTCTCCATCAGGTACTCCCCTGCTGATTGACAGCAACAGAGGGCGGGTACAATAGCCAGCTTGCTATTGCAAATTGAAATAGCCAATAGCAATGTAGCTATTCATTTCAATGCTGTATTTTTTTGTTTTATTATGATGGAACATGCATTTTTTTGTTATTTTTTTATTATAAATTCTTTTTTATTAAAAGTTTTAGTACCAAACATGGCATAAGCCCTCACGTCCATGAAGGCACACAGTTCAGTACACTGTAAAACAAAAATAGCATACAATGCAACCCCAAACTCCATTATAGGAACAGTCCCACAGTGAAGGTTACCCCCCACCCCCCGTCCCCTAGTAAGTGTGTGTCCTCCAAATGCCAGCTGCCCCGCACGGGGTGTCCACCTCCCTTGCAGGAGTACAGTATCTACAAGGTTTGAAATACAAAGATTAGACATGCAGGGTTTATTTCACCGCCAGTCCCTATTGCACATTATTTCACATTCTCAGGGGTTCCGCAGGCATTTGCATGCATTTTTGTGTGTTCCCAAGTGAAAAAAAAGCAGGCTGCTGTACTTTTTATTAAAAGCTCTGGAACTGAACGCAATGGTGAACTAGTCTTAAATTAAAACAATTGGAATTACTGTGTATGCTGATCAAAATTTGGTGCAGATAAAAAAAATGCACCGGTCTGGAGATGCTGCGAACAAGCCCTCAATGGCCCCGCAGTTGTGGATTGCAGGTA